AACAGAGCAGACACGCGAAAATGGCTGGGGAAGAAAGAAAGAAAGAAAAAAAGAAAAAGAAAGAGAAAAAGAAGGAAAGTCAGCCAGCCTTATCCCAAAAATCTTTTGACCCCTTTAGGATTTGAAAATTTTACTATTAGGTTCATTAATAACGTTTCCTCACCATTAAGTCCCTAACTCAACTTTAATGTTCTTGAAATTTTTGGGGTTTTACATCCACCCCTCCTAAAAAGGAGTTTAGTCCCCTAAACTCATACCTCAATCTTGGAAGAGGTGCGGATGTTCCTGCCTCATCTTGGATTCCAACTCCCAAGTAGCTTCTTCAACCGAATGGTTACCCCAGAGGACCTTAACAAAATGAATGGTCCTTCTTCGCATTATCCTCTCCTTGAAATCTAAAATGCGGATCGGGTGCTTGTCATAAGTAAGATCCTCCCGGAGTTGAATTGGTTCAGGATTAATGATGTGACTCGAGTCGAGAACATACTTCCGAAATAAGGACACGTGAAACACATCATGCACACCCGCTAGATTTCCAGGGAACTCCAATTTATAAGCTACCTTGCCAATCCTTTTCAAGATAGGATATGGTCCAATATACCTCGGACTCAATTTTCCCCGGATGCCAAACCTGAGGACACCTCAAGTGGGTGACACCTTAAAAAATACATGGTCACCAATTTCAAACTCAAGGTCTCATCTCCTTTTATCCGCATAGCTTTTCTGCCTGCTTTGTGCAGCACGAAGGCGTTCCTTGATCAATTGCACAATCTCAGAAGATTGCTGCACCAATTCTGGGCCTAAAATGCTTCTTTCGCCCACTTCCGTCCAACAACCAGGTGATCTACACCTTCGACCATACAAAGCCTCAAACGGTGCCATGCGGATGCTGGATTGATAACTGTTATTATATGCAAACTCAGCCATGGATAAGTGTTGATCCCACAAACCCTTCCAATCTAGAACACAAGCCCTCAACATGTCCTCAAGTATATGAATAGTTCTCTCAAATTGCCCGTCAGTTTGAGGATGGAAGCCCGTGCTGAAATTTAATTGAATACCAAGTGCCTGCTGCAAGCTTGTCCAGAAATGAGATAAAAATCTGGTATCTCTATCTGACACAATAGACACAGGGACTCCATGCAGCTTGACTATCTCCTCCATGTACATATTGGCAAGCTTCTCAATGGAGGTGCCAGTTTGGTAGGGTAAGAAGTGAGCCGATTTGGTCAATCGATCAACAATGACCCAGATGGAATCGTTACCCTTTAAGGTTCGTGGTAAGCCAGTCACAAAGTCCATGGTGATGTTCTCCCACTTCCACTGGGGAATCGGTAAAGGCTGCAGTTTCCTAGGAAGTCTTTGGTGTTCGGCCTTGACTTTTTGGCAAGTCAAGCATTGTGACACAAATCTAGCTATCTCCCTCTTCATGTTCTGCCACCAAAATGTACTACGCAAATCGCGATACATTTTGGTGCTACCTGGGTGAATTGTATAGCTAGTATAATGGGCATCTCCCATAATCTCACGCCTTAAAGCATGGTCTCTTGGTACACACAACTTGTCACCAAACCACAGAGTCTCATAATCAGAAATTCTGAATTTTTGCATGTGGGGTTCCCCGACTCTTACTTTTTCCTTCATCTTCTGCAATAAGGGATCTTTTTGTTGGCCAAGTTTAATTCTATCTATTAATGCTGGTTGTGCATTGAGAGCAGCTAGATAAGCCGTAGTACTGTCTACTCTCAGCTCCACATCCAGTTTCACAAGATCCTCAAGTAACTCCTTCTGAGTGGCAAGGATGCTAGAGGCAGTGCCAGAGGACTTCCTACTCAACGCATCTGCTACTTTGTTAGCTTTGCCTAGATGGTAGCTAATGATCAAGTCGTACTCCTTTAAAAGTTCAAGCCATCGCCTCTGCCTCATATTAAGCTCCTTTTAAGTGAAAATGTACTAAGGCTCTTGTGATTGGTGAAAATCTCAGAAGTCTCACTATACAGATAATGCCTCTAGATCTTGAGTGCAAATATTACAACTGCCAACTCCAGATCATGGGTAGGGTAATTTTCTTCATAAGGCTTTAACTGCCAGGAAGCATATGCAATAACCCTATCTTTTTGCATCAAGACACATCCCAAACCCTTTTTAGAGGCATCACTATATATAGTGAATCCTTCCCCATTGATTGGGAGCGCAAATACAGGAGCAGTGACCAACTTCTTCTTAAGGGTCAAAAAGCTCTTCTCACACTCTGGAGTCCACTCAAACTTGGTGTCCTTCCTGATAAGACGAGTCATTGGCAGAGCAATTCTAGAGAAATCCCCCACAAATCGGCTGTTATAACCAGCCAATCCCAGAAAACTACGGATTTCTGCAACACTATTCGGCCTTTTCCAATCAACCACGGCCTCAATCTTCTGGGGGTCAACAGAGATTCCATCCTTAGTCACAATGTGACCTAGGAATGCAACATTATCTAGCCAAAATTCACACTTCTTAAATTTAGCAAATCTCTCACTTCTCAGTGTCTCGAGAACTGTCCTTAAGTGCCTTTGATGAAGAGTATGGCTAGAAGAGTAGATCAAAATGTCGTCAATGAAGACAACCACAAACTTATCTAGGTACTGGCTAAATACCCGATTCATCAAGTCCATAAATCTGGCAGGGGCATTTGTCAAGCTAAATGGCATAACTATGAATTCATAATGACCATAACGGGTACGGAAGGCAGTCTTTGGCACATCATCCGATTTAATCTTCAATTGGTGGTAGCCAGATCGAAGATCAATCTTAGAGAATACTTGGGCACCTTTGAGCTGGTCAAATAAGTCATCAATTCTAGGAAGGGGATACTGGTTCTTCACAGTCACCTTATTCAATTCCTGGTAATCAATGCATAGCCTCATGCTCCCATCCTTCTTCTTAACGAACAACACTGGAGCTCCCTAAGGTGACACACTAGGGCGTATAAACCCTTTTTCAAGGAGTTCCTCCAGTTGGACCTTTAACTCCTTCAATTCTACCAGAGCCATACGATATGGTGTTTTGGAAATAGGTCCGGTTTCAGGAACAAGGTCAATAGCAAATTCAATCTCCCTATCTGGGGGTAAACTTGGGAGATCCTCTGGAAATGCATCTGGAAACTCACGCACCATTGGTATGTCTTCTAGTCTCGATGTCACACTACTAGCATCAGTAACAGAGACTAGGAAACCCTGGCAACCATTTACAAGATATTTCTGAACCTGCAAGGCAGATATTAACACGGGTGGAGCAAAAGAACCATTGCCTTAAAAACTAAATTCTGGTTCACTAGGAATATTAAAAATTACCCATTTTTTATGGCAATCTATAGAGGCAAAATGTTTTGACAGCCAATCCATCCCCAAAATGATATCAAAATCAGAGATATCTAATACAAACAGACTAGCATTCAACTGTCTACCATCAACATAAATATCCACAGTCCTACACACCTCCCTAGTAGTCATCACCCCTCTTAAAGGGGTGTCCACATGCAGTTCAAGATCAGAGGTATTAACAAGCAAAGCTCGTTTCAAAGCATAATATCGAGCAATAAAAGAGTGCGATGCACCCGAATCAAATAAAATATGCGCATAATCAGAGTTAACAGGCAAGGTACTCGTGATTACGTCGGTAGCCGCAGCTTCCTTGTGAGTCATCACTTGCACTCTCGCCTGCTGGGCTCTTGTCTGAACCCTGGTACTCTGTTTCTGCGCTCCTTGACTGGTAGAACTCTGTGGAGAGGTAGGTTGAGTACTCTGAGTTTTGGGGTCTAACAGGGGACAATTTGCAATCCGATGTCCTTGCTTGCCACATTTGAAGTAAGCCCTAGTAACAGTGTGGCACTGATCCCAGGTGTGCCCAACCTTCCCACAAACGTGGCAAGTAAGCTAAGTACGACGAGCACGTTGGGCCGTTGATGCCTGGCTCACAGTCTTGGTGGCTCCTAGCCCTCTAGAACCCTTGCTAATCTCAGACTTAGGCGGTGCAAGGACAAAGGATCGACGGCTCCCATCAAATTTTCTCTTGCCAAGGGATGACCCAGCACTATGCTGTTCTGAGGACTTGACTCTAGCCATAGCTTTCTCTTGATCTAGGGCTTTGTCTGCAGCCTCTCTATAAGTGGCGGGTTTGAATTGATTCACCGCCAGATAAATATCGGGATTCAAGCCCCATAAAAATTTATCAGCTTTGGCTAGCTCATCCCCAACCTGACTACCCACAAAAGGTAGATAGCGGTCAAACTCCTTCTTGTACTGCTCAACAGTACCCGACCCTTGCTTTAGATTTGTAAATTCCCTTTGCGGTTCCCGCCTTTTGTTGTCTGGTATGTACTCTTGCATGAACACCTTTTTAAAACCATCCCAGGTGCTCAATTCAGGCTCTCCTTCGTGTAGCTTCAAATAATTCTCCCACCAATTAATGCTTCACTAGTAAGCATATAATTGCCTACATCGACCTTAAGCTCGTCAGAAATCTTCAGTAGGCGGAATCCTCGCTCCACCTCGGTAATCCACGACCCCACTTACTCGAAACCCGCGATACTGTCAAATCTCTTGGTCACCACCTTCTGGAATTCTGTATAGACCTTCCAGCTAAACACCGTAGGAGCAAAAGAAATAGGAACAAGGGAAATTGGAGTAGGGGCCATAGGAGTGGAAACCACTGGGGATGGAGGTGGCACACTTGTGGCAGGAGATGCTTGGTGTCTTATCTCCGCCATAAGTTCTTGAACAAAAGTGGCTATCTGGGGATTACTCGTCCCTCCCTCCTGCGGAGCAGCTTGGGCATGGGGACTAGCATCTGGGATCGGAGGAGTGCCCTGATCCTTACGACCACCTCTTGGGCGCCCACGTTGTTTTGGGGCCATCTATAACCATATAGAAGGTTTATAGACTATTAATCAAATGCTCCAATGAAAATTTTCCCAGCAAGTTTCCACTCTCGGGACCAAGCCACAAAAACATCAAGGTTAAATGCTAAATTTGGTCCCTCAACTTTAGTGAGTTGCACATTTTTGATCCCTCAACAATTTTTTGCACTTTTTTGATCCCCCAACTATACAAAATGCATTCCGTTAATCCTTTTGTTAATTTGAGCAGTTAACTTGACCACATGGCATTTTTTATATTTTTTTTTATAACATGGCAAGCACAACTTAAAAAGATGCTTATCTGGACTTTTTTTTTTTTTGATGACATGTCATCTTCTTCACGCTAAACACCTCCAATGGATTCCAGTTGCCTGCAAACTGCTCAAATGGATTCCAGTTGCCTACAAACTGGTCTCTCATCTTCACCCTCTGCAACACCGATCTTAACCCATTTCTTCTTATTCTTTGAATGCTCTCTCATCTCCACTCCATCTGCAAAATCGATCTTAATCCATTTTTTCTTCTTCCGTGAATGCTCTCTCATCTCCACTCCATCTACAAAACCGATCTTAACCCACCCATTTCTTCTTCTCTTTTCTCGGGAAAACTTGAGCTACTGGGTTTCATTGAAACCTCAAACCTGGCATATCTTACCAAATCAAAATAACCCTTCAATAAACAATACCAATCAAACTCTAATCGAATTTCAACAACAATACAATCAAACTTTAATCAAATTCTAACAAAAATGCAATCAAATTATAAATCAATCTCCAAATATATTAACAACTGGAAATGGAAATCGAAAGAAGAACAAACAAACAAGAACCAAGCTTTCCCAGCGAAGCTGGGCTCGGTTGAAACCCAGCCTTGCTGGGTTCCAGCGAACCCAGCCTTGGCTGGTCGTGAACCCAGCAAGGCTGGGTTCTTGCTGGGTTTCCACCTAACCCAGCCTTGCTGGGTTTCAATCGAACCTAGCAAAGCTGGGTTCGTCAAAACCCAGATCTGTTGGGTTCTGACAAACCCAGCCAAGGCGAACCCAGCCTTGGCTGGTCACGAACCCAGCAAGGCTGGGTTTCCACCGAACCCAGCCTTGTTGGGTTTCAACCAAACCCAGCCTTGCTGGGTTC